GTATTAACCTTTGCTCCACCATGCTGAGTCAGTTCATCTGAATCATCTTCGAAGGACTCATCACTGCCGAAGGTAGTTCGGCCAGAGGGATCGTAGAAACGCTTTGGGGAGGGAGAGGTAGAACAACCATTAGCTTTGCCTTTCCTATTTCTAAAGCCTCAAAAACAGTATAGTATAACAAGAGGTTAATCTAACACATCTCAAGCTGATGGTGGTATATACAACCTGAAGGAAGACATGCTACAATAGTTTAACTTTTGACATTGATGCTTAGCAAAGCTATAAGGAACTCCTGTATACAATAACAATAAATGTAAAGCCAGACAGACAGAGGGGAAAGTCTAAAGAAAAATAACAAAATCAGGTTGCAATTTGCTTAAGATAGGTACTGAAGAATCAAAGCTACGGAAGTTTTGAAAAGGAGATAAAAAGAAAAGATACATTTCTATTTTAGACAAAAAAAGAAATTCTAGTTCAAGTTGCCCAGATTCAGGAGACCTTGAATACAAGTTAAATGCAAATCCCTTTCATGCACTGTGTAATGAGGAAATAAATCAACCCAAAGATTTTTTTTTCTATTCTCTCTCTCTTTTCTCACAATTAAAGTAAGGTGTATAAAAAACTGTTCCATCAATTTTTGGTGGTCCTTGCTAATGAATGAACCAAAAATATATTTTGGGTTCTGATAGAGAAGTTTTGAGAAAGCCCAAGGATATGAACATGCACAGGGGTAAGTATGTTAGAAGGCTGTTACTACTTATGATACTATTAGTAACAGAGAATGGGATGACAACAAAAAATGGAAACTGTGAGGACATGATGCATTTGATATTACAAACACAAAAAGAGACGAGTAACATTAAAGGAACATAAACATCAGTGCCAAGGGGGGGATGAAAACTGTCTCATTATTCAGTTCACCTCCTATCTGGATTCCCAGTCCTCCTCCTCACCATATCAACCTGAGAAAAATGGATGCTGCCCACTATTAACCTCAAATGAGTCATGCCCAAACAGTTCGTGAGATTCATGCTCATTCCGTTCATGAGAATCATGCTCATGATGTTCATGTGAAACATGCTGGAACAGTTCATCAGAATCATGCTCGTTCAGTTCATCAGAATGAGTATTAACCTTTGCTCCACCATGCTGAGTCAGTTCATCTGAATCATCTTCGAAGGACTCATCACTGCCGAAGGTAGTTCGGCCAGAGGGATCGTAGAAACGCTTTGGGGAGGGAGAGGTAGAACAACCATTAGCTTTGCCTTTCCTATTTCTAAAGCCTCAAAAACAGTATAGTATAACAAGAGGTTAATCTAACACATCTCAAGCTGATGGTGGTATATACAACCTGAAGGAAGACATGCTACAATAGTTTAACTTTTGACATTGATGCTTAGCAAAGCTATAAGGAACTCCTGTATACAATAACAATAAATGTAAAGCCAGACAGACAGAGGGGAAAGTCTAAAGAAAAATAACAAAATCAGGTTGCAATTTGCTTAAGATAGGTACTGAAGAATCAAAGCTACGGAAGTTTTGAAAAGGAGATAAAAAGAAAAGATACATTTCTATTTTAGACAAAAAAAGAAATTCTAGTTCAAGTTGCCCAGATTCAGGAGACCTTGAATACAAGTTAAATGCAAATCCCTTTCATGCACTGTGTAATGAGGAAATAAATCAACCCAAAGATTTTTTTTTCTATTCTCTCTCTCTTTTCTCACAATTAAAGTAAGGTGTATAAAAAACTGTTCCATCAATTTTTGGTGGTCCTTGCTAATGAATGAACCAAAAACATATTTTGGGTTCTGATAGAGAAGTTTTGAGAAAGCCCAAGGATATGAACATGCACAGGGGTAAGTATGTTAGAAGGCTGTTACTACTTATGATACTATTAGTAACAGAGAATGGGATGACAACAAAAAATGGAAACTGTGAGGACATGATGCATTTGATATTACAAACACAAAAAGAGACGAGTAACATTAAAGGAACATAAACATCAGTGCCAAGGGGGGGATGAAAACTGTCTCATTATTCAGTTTTCCAACCATGAACATAATCAGAAAGAGATAAGATGTATTTTTTTATAAGTCTCTAGTGTATTACATGGAAGATAAATACACGAGAGAAGGTAAATCCCTTTATGTCCAAAAAGGATAGGATGATCTCAATAGTGATATTTTGTTTAAATGAGAAGAAAACACCATTACATATCTTAGTAAACAAATAGGCACTGATGCACTCTAAACATTGATAAAGAAGCATTTCTTTTCAAAAACGTATATGTACATGTATATACAAATCAACTTCTTACCTTTCCTTTGCTGACAGTAAATTACTGGCTGGTATCAAATGCTCAAAACCAAAAGGCATGCCACTTACATTATAAACCGAGACAAATTCCTAAATACAACTGTCCTCATTCAAAATTTCCAACTATTTTGTGACTCTAGTAGGAATAATGGACAGGCTCATCCTATAAAGATCTTTTTTATTATTATATTATTAAGAGGGCTGGAGACACAGCTATAATCAAAACTATTAGGAGTGAAGACTTGAAATATTCCAGATGAATATACGTTTCTAATATTTTACGTGAACAAGAATGATGATGTGACATCATGACATCATTTCATAGTCCATCACCTCATCTTGTATAGTGATCTTAATGATGAACAATTTTTTCATTCTCTTCATTCATCCCTTAATAATGTATAAACAAAAGTATACCCTGATATTCACAGGTAAATCATAACGATTTCTCAATTTTCTACAAATTCAATAAAAGCAAAAGGATTACTCATCCAAAGTCACACATCCAGCACCATTTGAAATCAGAAAATTGATTGCTCATGACTGTGATAATCTTATTTACATAACATCACTGCTAGTGATCATCAGACTGGTACATCATTGGAGAGAGGTTTTGTTTTACCAGAAATGGGCACCTTCTCTTTCCTAAGTAGCTGGTGCTTTTTGCTTTTATAATATATTTAGGGTGGGAGTACCACATTTCTGGCTTTGTAAGTTGTTTTTCAAACTACTATTTATTATAACTTTTTAAAATATTATCTGATGTATGTATCATATGCATATTGAGAGCCATACTAAACTTCTTTGTTGCAACAAGGAGAAGGATGAGGTGGGTGAAGAGGGAAGTAGAGGGGGAGTGAGCCACCATTCGAACCCACATGGAGCATTGCCTCCGACGGATTTTTCTTTTTTCAGCAATATACTTCAAAAGTTGTTATATAGCAGTCATCGGTTTTCGTTAATTTTTTTCTTACCCATTGTAACTGTAAAAACAATGGGCACCAGCACAGAAAAAGCAGAATACCACCAACTAAAATGCAGATGAGATGGCAACCCCCACATTGCCAAGAGACACAATTCTTTGGTGTGGAACATTGATCATGGATGATTTGTAGGTGGTATAGGAAGATTTTGAGCATATGATTGTCACCAGCCCCCTTAGGTCTATAAACAGCAACCGATAACTATAACCGCTGAGGAAAGGAGAGCAAATTAGGAATACAGAAAAAGCAATCAGCAACCACTAACAGTACAGAAAAAGGGTAAGGGATACAACAACAGCTACAAGGAATGCAAACTCATCAAGCCAAAGTAAAAGAAGAGAAATCTGGCCAGTAAGAAGAATGTACCAGATTGAATAGACTTCAGTACATCTTAGGAACCCATGCATAGTATGTATAACCCATATGGAAATAGGAGAAAGGCTAACAATCTACAAACAGGATGTCTATCTTCTAATCTTATGTTATCTATAAATCACTTCACAACTTTCCTCAACAATGACACAAACTGAAAAAGTAATGTGAGTTGCTAAACATATTAAAATTTACCAAGCATCAGCCAATTTATTATAGCTGTATTTACACATGAACCTTGGAAGAAAAATTAGATCAAATGATGTGTTCTTACCTCATTGCTCTCCTCACTCTCGACACTGTCTCGCACTAAGAACTGGGACTTGAAGACTGGTCGAGCATGGGCAGTTGGGTGGACACTAGGTAAATTGACCTCAAAGGACTCATCACCATCATGGTAGTGCTCTTTCTCAGTACAATGGAGGTTCATAACATCCTGTCTGTCAAGCCATGGCTGAACCATCACAATGGCTTCGCAGATCTGTAAATTGGAAAACAATCTTAACAGTATTATCCCACTTAACAACAATTACCATTACCTGTTAGGGTATGGTGTATCAAGCAATCATTAATATTCAAAAAGTCATTTGCTTCGTGATGATGGCAAAACACAAACAAATTAGCAATAGTACAAAATCTTACCATGTGATCTTCACCAATATCTGGAGCACAGCGAGCCTTGTTGATACGCCTCTTATACTTGGGGCAGATTGTCTCCACCAATTCAACCATCACATGGTACCTCACACCTGATGTCACCTGGAAAGCAAAGTTCCAACAAAACCTTTCAGACACCTAGTTAACAGATTTCTTATTTAACAGAAGTATTCCATGATTTTTTTTTTTTTCCCAAAATGAATAATTTCCATTTCAAAGTCAAAAAAATGTATAGCACAGTATCTCAATTATGGCTATGAACACAAAAAATGATTAACCACTCTTGTATTTACCTGCTTGCGTGCTTTGAGCGCCTTCTGGTAAATGAACAGATTGTCCTCATCTGACCTAAAATCAAATTCATCTGCAATCTTAATTCCCAGTTTTTTGAGGCTCTTATCATTCACATCCATATCAATCCACTGTCCACCTGGAGCACCTGCAAAATAGTTAAGGATTAGTATCACAATATAATGACCTAACCTTCTCAATAACAATACAAATAATCAAAACATTTTTTTTCTTTCTTCTAAGTTTACAGGTTATGATTCACTCACCTGTTCTAAATGTTGAGGGATCGACACCACTCTTCTGGATAATCTTTCCTGTAAGAGACACATACTGTCTTACAACCATGCTGTGATCTTTGCCTTACAACCATGCTGTGATCTTTGCCTACATTTTTTTCTCATAATACCACTGTTGACAGTTTTAAGAAAAATATATCGGGGTTAAATGATATTCCACTACATATCTTCCAAATTCTGCATATTTCAATTAAAAGATAAAGATAAAAAAAAAAAATAAAAAAATAAAAAAAAAATATATATATATATATATATATATATATATATATATATATATATATATATATATATATATATATATATATATATATATATATATATATGTATATATATATATATATATATATATATATATATATATATATATATATATATATATATATATATGTATATATATATATATATGTATATATATATATATATATATATATATATATATATATATATATATATATATATATATATATATATATATATATATATATATATATATATATATATATATATATATATATATATATATATATATATATATATATATATATATATATATATATATATATATATATATATATATATATATATATATATATATATATATATATATATATATATATATATATATATATATATATATATATATATATATATATATATATATATATATATATATATATATATATATATATATATATATGTATATATATATATATATATGTATATATATATATATATATATATATATATATATATATATATATATATATATATATATATATATATATATATACATATATATATATATATATATATATATATATATATATATATATATATATATATATATATATATATATATATATATATATATATATATATATATATATATGTATATATATATGTATATATATATGTATATATATATATATGTATATATATATGTATATATATATGTATATATATATATGTATATATATATATATATATATATATATATATATATATATATATATATATATATATATATATATATATATATATATATTCCTAAACATCTTCAGTCTACAAGTAAACCCTCCGATCAGTATCCCCAAAAGACCCTAATGTGATAATGCTAAAAAAAAATAAATAATGAAACAAGTAAAAAAAGTAAATGGTCATATAATATATATATATATGTATATATATATATATATATATATATATATATATATATATATATATATATATATATATATATATATATATATATATATATATATATACATATATATATATATATATATATATATATATATATATATATATATATATATATATATATATATATATGTATATATATATATATATATATATATATGTATATATATATGTATATATATATGTATATATATATATGTATATATATATATATATATATATATATATATATATATATATATATATATATATATATATATATATATATATATATATATATATATATATATTCCTAAACATCTTCAGTCTACAAGTAAACCCTCCGATCAGTATCCCCAAAAGACCCTTATGTGCTAATGCTAAACAAAAATAAATAATGAAACAATTAAAAAAAGTAAATGATCATATAATGATAATACCTCTGATTTTGTTGAGATAGTAGTCATCTCGCTCATCACAGTACAATTTTGTGAGCTGTTTTGCCTGACCAGGAACTGAGGGCATTGTGACCTCAGCCTGGCATATCTCCCTCTCTTCACCATGGTCAAGCACACAGCGACTTGGGTCAGCAATAGGCAAGTACTTCTTGCAGTGGGTCTCAGCCAATTCAACTTCCAGAAGGTATGTGATTCCCTGTGCCTGCTGCAGAGAGAGTAGGCAAAAATTGGATGTAAAAAGTTCTTTTTAAAACTAATGGTATACACTATTAAAAATGTAAGGTTGAAGAACTGTCACACAGCAATGCCTGTCATTTCAAGTCAACTCTAAGTTATAACAGTTAGTTTAACATTAACTCAGCAATGAGTTTCAATTCTAAGAATACAAAAAAAAAAAAAATTACTTTTCAAAAAATAAATATTCAAAAATGAACAACAAAAAAATATCAGACACTTATTTTCACCCACACTACAGTGCTAATGTCTACTTCATATATCCATCAACTCTAGAACAAGCATGCACAATGAACATTTTATAGCTACATACCTGCATGTTGGCACTGACAATATTAGTCAGTACATAAAGTTCATCATCATCCCCACGAAGGTTATACTGCTCAACAACAAAAGCAGCAGCTTCATGCACCTTTGAGTCATTGAGGGCCAAAGGCTGAGCTCCAGGAATGTTTGTTTTGCCTTGTGGGAGGTTCAAGAATGGATGATCCATCAGGTCAACTGAACTCAAGATTGGCATCAGCGTCTGCAAAGCATAAAAGGAATGAACATCTATATTTAGTGGTTCTAACCAATAATTAAATCTAAATCATAATAGTTTCACATTTATATATTGGAAGTATAAGGAGGATGATACAATGTTATAGGATGTGCTTACAGACAACCTAGTTCTTAATACATGCCATTACTTAACCCTTTCCCGACAGGCATGGCATGTACGTATATGCCATGCCCACTATGAGTTTACTTGTTTGATTGTTTATACTCATAGATGGCTACATGTACTAAACCATCAATGAGCCAATTACGAGTACTGCCTGTCTTGCCCGTTTACCCTTTTCTTTGATTTATGAAAATATTTTACATTATCTTATTTTGTTACTACTAATGTTTATAACATTATAGTAATTATAATGTTTATAATAAAAATAACACTATCAATATTCATAGCACTAGTAAAAAGTACATTTTCCCACCAATTCAAGGAAAGGTGAAGGCAGGTAGGGCAGAGCCATCTATATGTAGAGACATTTCACAAAAAATATAAAAAATGAGCACAGCATTTCCCCATTTTTTATTAATTTTCCCCATCGGCAATGGGTTAAGCATGCTTTAGTATGCTTCAGCTTCCCATTTAAAATTCATAGAGAGCTTTACACAGAGAATGAATAATCTGATATCTCTGGGTCATGGATGATCATTCTCAGACAAACACACAAGAACTCCTTCAAATTCATAATGGATTTTCCTCTACGTACCTCCCTCAAATAGTCATCTAAATCATCACAGGTAAAGGAAACCAGCCTCTGGTTCCCAGGTGCTGGAACACCTGGCTGGACGAGCACATCAGCTTTGCACACCTGTAAATATAAATTATATGTCAGTGTACAGTTTTCCTGCCACTTATCCTTTTTTTACCATTATCTGTGCACTGATAAATTACTATCTTGGTCTTATATATCAAATCAGCACACTTACATGATAAAACAAAAGAAAATCCTGAGCATATTACCTCATGATCTTCTGAGGGATTAATGATACAGTGTTCTCCATTGCCTAGAGATGGGTCTAGCTTGTGGCAATTGGTCTCAGCCAACTCAACAACCACACGATACATAGTTCCTCCCACATTCTGAAAATTGCAAAATATTATGTGAATATAACAGAACCTCTTTCTGAAATAGTAAACACATTTACAGAACAGGAAAAATAGAAAATAGATAATTGTAAGTAGACTAACCTGTGAAGATGCCTCGTGGAGTTTGACAAATTTGTAATACTCATCATCATCTTCTCGTCTGTTGTATTCTGCCACAACCAATCTGGCAATCTCAAGTGTTTGTGGATTGATTTCTAATGGCTTCTGACCAATGTGTGCTGGAGGACTTGTCCTGAATGTAGTGCCTACAGAGGGTGATGCACCAAGACCTGTTCCCAGTGCCACAGGAACAATGAACTCATCTTGGGTGGAAGTTGGGTAGTCATCTTTATCATAACACCTGAGAGGGAGACATTTAATTATGCACTGAATTTCCAGGATTAGCCTACAATCTGATGAGATGAACATAAACATTAAATAAATAAATGCAGGAGAGCTGTATAAGGTGCTTTTTCATCTCAGGCACTTACTGTGAGGCTACAAGGTCACGTGAGGGAACCCATGGTTGATCTACCACATGGAGATCGCAGATCTCTGTCTCTTCAGTTACATCTTGAGGGCAGAAAGTGCGGTTCACATCAACACCAGTCAGTTGTTTCTTACAGTGTGTCTCGGCAAGCTCAATGGTAAGATAGTACTTCACACCAGCTACCACCTGGAGGTAATATAAGGTGATAATTACTACTAGTAATAAAAAAAGGCAGTGATTACAAACACAAAAGTATTAAAAGAATAAAAAAATATATATATAAATAAATAAATAGAATATCTGACTAGCTCTTCATGTACCTATCACTAGACACACAATGAAGAATTAATAACAATTAACTTAATCTTACCTGAGTCTGGGCCTTGACAAGTCTAAGAATCATGTGCAGTTCATCCTCATTTGAGGCTCTGTCATATTCCTTCAAAGCAAAGTCTGCAATCTCCAAAATGGTTGGGTCATTGAGAGGGGCGGCTTGAGGACAACCCAGGCAAGGAGCACGCACAGGCACTACCAGTTCTTCATCAACACTTCGCTGAAAGATCAACAGAATACCACATCACCAAAAATAAAATATACACAATCCATTTTTCATTCTGAAGTTATTTAACTCCTGTAAAGTCAAGAAAATAACTACAAAACCTAAGAATAGCTGGACCCTTACCCTTCTCTCACACTTGATGTCATCATCATCCTCAACAATAGGAACAACATCAAGACTGGCAATCTGGTTGGGATTGTGAACAACAGTCACTGAGCATATGTAGTGGTCACGGTGGTTGTCGCGTGGGCAAACCCTGGGGTCAGTCTTCTCATCAGGAGACCTCAAGCAAAGGTTGAAACCATACTCTACATTCACCTGCACCTGGGTCATATTTTGCACTGGATCGAACTGAAAAGGAAAGGAGGTTAAACAAACTATTTATAACTTTGTGTTTAACCTTGGCCAGCAGATACATGCACTGTCCACTCTGATTTTGTTCTACTGACTTTCTTTACAAATAAATGACGTCAATTGATATTTAGTCACCAAGGAGTCAGTTACTGGGCCTGTTTACCCCATTCCT